TATATAATAGGGTTTGAAGATTGTTATTTATGAATTATTCATTCTCAAATAAAGCAGTTTTAAGCCAGACACATATTTTTAAAAGATTGAAACGTGCAATTGGATTGTTTCTCCTCACTACAAACACATCTTCTTACTTAAGACTATCAATATGCTCAGCAATAAAATAGCCGAACAGCATGAACACAATTTGACTGAAAGAGAACAGGCAGAAAGGCAAAAGAATGAGCTGTCACTTTAAAACATGAAAGCCTAATTCAGTGACCTACAAACTGTTTTTCTCCTGTGTGTTTATTATGCGCTGGGAATAGTGACAGCTGTTGGAAAGCATCACCAAGTAGTTTCACGTGTCCTTCTAAGCCTTTACGTCCGCAGTGAATGCAGTGCTTTTGGTAGAAATGATGATCTTCCAGACTTTCGTTAAATGGAGAGAAAATTATCCCAGTGGTAGACCTCAAGAAGTGACCATGATAGATGTGTGAGAGATGACCAAAAAATTGTCTGAATTCACTTAGATGAGTCTCTGGCATCTTAGTCCTGATAAAGGCTCCATGGGAGGTTGAAAGTAAACTACAAAATTACGTTCAGAATCTAATTATGATAAATAACCTTTGACCTACTTTGAATATATTGAAATTATGGTAAATGGGAAACTCACTATATTTGGAGAGGAAAACAAGACATAGCAAACTTCTACTTGATTAAGCTTCAGGATTTTCCAACACTGCTAATGAGTGTAAATAGGTCCAGTCCTAATGGAGGTCATTTGATGGTAAGGATTAAAATTTTAGGAATTTTCTGAGCATAAGTGTAGGGATATTCACAAAGGTAAATGAATCTGCTGATTTCGTAAACATAGAAGCTATTTGAGGGCTAGCCAAATTATCGATAGGTTGAATTGTGATTTACCAATAGGGAGATTTTAAGGACTCCAAATTAAGAGTTCTATTATGTTAGGTTATCTATTTAAATATCTAAGTGGAAAAGCTGAATAGTTAACTGGGCATGAATTCTCAAATTGAGAGGAAAGGACTGGTCTGGAGATAAACAACTGGGGTAACCAACATGGGTAATGTTTGTATATGGAAAAATGGTTCAGAGGGTACAAGATGCATGCCCCTATTCAAGCTTGCCAACCTGAGTTTGCCTTAGAAATCTGCATAGTAGAAAGAGAAATGCCTCCCACAAGATCTCTGACAGCCACCCTCATGTGCTGGCCTGCATCTACTTGTGACACACATACATGTATAAATACAGACACACATTAAATAATTAAATGTAACAATAAGTATATTGATAATTAATTGATACATAAGGTAAGTAGTAATATATATGATTATTGTAAGTGATTATACCAAATAGTAGTTATGCAAAATGCTACAGAATTGTATTTTGTGACATGAAACAGTTACAGTATAACTAAATGAAACAAGTGGAGTCCTGGCATGGTAGGTTACTTCTGTAATCTCAGCCTACTGGAGGCTGAGTTTGAGGCCATGAGTTTGAGGCCAGCCTGAGCTACCTAACGAGTTCCAGAATGGCCTGGACTGCAGAGGGATACACTGTCTAAAAATCTTGAAATCAGAGCCCCTAGTAGATTCAAGGCAGAGTGAATCATATGGTTGCATCTCCATTTAAACACTTGTTTATTTTTTAAAAGTTATGAACAGGCCAGGCAGTGGTGCACATACCTTTAATCCTAGCACTCGGGAGGCAGAGGCAGGAGGATCTCTGTAAATTCAAGGCCAGCCTGGTCCACAGAATAAGTTCCAGGATAGTCAGGGTGACACAGAGAAACCCTGTCTTGAAAAAAATCATCATCATAATAATAGAGTTATTAAAAGTGGATAAGTAGAATTGCCATTTACAGTAGGGGAGTTTTATGGGCTACAAATCAAGAATTCAATTTAAGTTGAAATGCCTATTTGCTCATCTAAAGGAAGAAGTTGGATAGCCAGCTGCAAATGAAGTGTAAAATTTAGAGAAGACTGAACTGGATAAAACAATTAGGATACCCAACCTGTGTTATTTAAATAACTATGGGACGGGTAAAGATCTCAAGAGCTAGTGGACAGAAAGGCACAGTCCAACATAGAGGGGAGGCAATGAAAAGAGAACATCCGAGCCAGTAAGAGTTGATTCCTATCAAAGAAACACAGGGATGGTCAATGCGTACGAGGTTTTTGAACATCGTAGACTTAACTATAAGACTATGTTACGAAGGCCACTTGCTAGGATGGGAATTCCGTTTAAACCAGTGGAGAAGGAAAACAAAAAGTAGCTGCTCTTTAAGGAAATGATGAATTTGCTTTTAAAAATCTTTTGAGAAGTCAGAACGTTATCTGGATGAATGCTCCAATGTGGGTGCTAAGATTTATTAGAGGAATCAGGCCGACCTCTAGCTGTGGGGTTACCCATTTATGTACCCATGATGGCTGTCCCAGTACTGTGACCATTCCTTACCTACTCATCTGATTTATGATGATAGATGAAAAAGGGTTGATGATATAGAGCTCCATAATCGTAAATAAGTTATTCCTTCTTCAGTTCATTATAAGTAGCTAATGTGTTTCTTATAAAAGGCACTCACTTTGAGAACAATTAGGAGCCAGTATTCAAAACTGAAATACCATGAGAAAGCCATTTCTCTCTCTATTTGCTTAGACATTTCTTGACATTTACTCGTACAAAATAAGAAAAAGGAGCCAAAATGTTGAAGGGTGACCAATGGAAACCACAGGACGCTTCTAGTTTGCCTGATCCTAATCACTTAATAACGTATTTATTTGTTTATAAGCTCATTAACACCAAAAGTCTATGTCAAAGTATAACATTAAATAATTTTTTAACATGTATCTTAAGTGCATGGTTGGTGAGACTTTTTCATGCATGTATGTATGTCTGGTGCCTGTGGAGATCAGAAGATGGAGTTTTATATTCTGGAGCCACAGTTATGGAAGCCTGTGAACCATCATGTGGGTGTTGAGAACCAAATCGGGTCTTCTGCAAGAACCAATGTGCTCAGCCACAGCGCTGTCTTACCAGCCCTCAAATAGACTCACGGTTTCTATATGCACTTTTGGCTTTGATATTTTCTGTCATACTAATAATTTTAGTTTGTTTGTATTTTGACTTTTTTTTGCTTTTTTGAGCTTTTTTTGTTTTTTTCTATCTTTCTGTCTTTAGAGGGGGAATGGAGAAAACATGAAATTAAGTAGGTGGGTAGGTGGGAAGCATCTGGGAAGAGTTGGGAGAGTGGGGAAGGGGAGTGACTATGATCAAAATATATTGTGTGAAATTTTTTTAATAAGAAGAGAAGATCAAAGTATAACATTGCTGTTTAGTTTTCAAATGAAATTCACTAATTCATTTAATTGGTTTTGCATGATATTATAATCAAGAATCATAAAAATGACCAGTAATGTCTACCAATGCTGATCAGACAGCTAGGAAGAAACCAGTAGGATCTATGATGGTTTGTAGGTATGGTCTAAAGATAAACTGACCTGAAGTTGGTTGAGTATAATCATGTGAATTTCTTTGATTCTAATAAACTCAATGGCTGAATCTTAACTGTTTTCTGTGAAAATTTTATTGCTTATATGGTCAAATATTTTTTCCTCTGTGAAAGATTTCAGAAACTGGGGAAATACTTTAACTTTTCTTTTAAAAAATGATATGAACCTAAAAGTTCTTGAGGAAAAACATAAAAATATTAAATTTATGGAAGTTTTATTCAAACAATCATAGCATTAGGCTAAGTTCTTTATTAATACTGACTTCAATCCCATGAGGAGGTGGAATTGCCTTCCTTTGTGACGTTAAGAAAACACTGTTTTCAGGTGCTGACTTCCAAAGGTCCCATGAGTTGTTATATATGTAGGCATAAGTTGTTATATATGTAGGCTTGATTTTGAAATCAAGAATTTCTCCTGGCAGCACCATTGATCTACAAGGGCAATTGATATGATTAGAGTATCTGACTCAAACTAAAGCCTTCTTTTAGAAAAAATATTCAAATTCATTTCTCTTGCTTTGGGATATATTTAGAAGAAACTGATCAGTAAAGATGCTGTAAACTTCATTCAATTCCCTAAGATAAACTATGACATGCATTTTGTTTGTCATATTTGCTTAGCTTTTCTATTTCTGTTCAAGCCCATAAGCAGAGTCTTACAAGATAATGAATGGCTCATAAGGAAAAATAAAAGCTAATCAGAATAAGTTGCATCTCCATGTAATTCAGTATATTCTTCTATAACCATGGAGAGTCCAGCTATGGCTGTGCTAATATTATTATAAGAAAATTTTCATAGTGGTGATAGGAACAGAAAGACAAGGTCAGTCTCTGTTCCTGAAGACACTAGTTTTGATGGCACATTATTTACATTTTACTGAACATGTCCTCAAGAATTTCTGTTAATCTGGTTGTTTGTATTTACAAAATAGCTCGTTACATGCCTGGTAATTTATTTGTAAACTTGTGCGAGAGGGACCAAAAAATCTTGGGCCTGGAGCTTACACGTTTGGGGGTGTCTTTACATTCTCAAGTTACAGAGTTTTACAAAGGATTCTTGTCAGTTATAGTCCTAAACTTAAGTTGCCTTGGATTCATAGTGAATCTGCATCTATTAAAAAGAAGACGGTTGATTTAATATCTTATAACTAAGGGAACTATAAAATGCCTCAACATTCTCCATAAAAATGAAAAGGTTACATGAAAAATGTCACTGTTTTTTTCTCATGATTACAATTTCTTCTTTGAGGTAAGTGTGATGCAATTGATATTTAGGAAAATATTTTTTTAAAAAAAAAAAAAGCCAGAGTACCCAAACACCCAAGTCGTCCGCATCATTGCTAAGTCAGCTAAGTCAGCTCTTTAGTTGCCATGATATTGATGGGGCTAAGAACTGGAGCAGGCAAAGACTATCTAAATAACAACATGATGTCACCATAGCCAGGGACAGAAGTAAAAGAAAAATGCTTTTGTTTCATGACAGGATCCATGATCTCAAGGATGAAAATAATTTAGGGTTACTATTCTTCAAAGAAGGCAATCAACTAGAAAAAGAAAATTTTGAAGGTAATTCAGATGTCTAAACATCAAGTCATCATATTACAAGGAGCTTTCAGCTCCTTAAAATGGCTGAGCACAGCTCATAAATGACAAGGGATTTTTTTCTCATGCTGCTAAAAAAAGATGAGCCGAATATACCTCAGCAGCGGCTGCCTTGAGGTGCCATGGGGAGACGGTGACTTAGGTATGGTATAGATCTTTATGAAACTGTGTGTATATATAGATACAGATATAGATATGAAATCATGAATCTCTTTGCTCTTGCAATGTGATATTTAAGAGCAGGCTCTTACTCTGTAATAATAAACCAGATGTCTGGGAACTAGTGCTATTTCTAAATATAGACAGTCACCCCTGCATAGCTCCACACACCGTAGCAGTATGAATTTGATTAGCATGGTGAAAGTTACATTTTGTAAAAAAATAAATTCCATACTGATAATTTATCTGGATGAGTAAGGCTGAACATTTTTCAAAGGATTTTCCCCTTTATCCTAGATACACAAAGTGTAAAAATTCGAAATACTACAAAATAGATATATAGTAAGATATTTTTATCTTGTTTAGCCTTGAAAAAAATAATATAAGCATGTCCATATGGGGAAGTATGATATTTAACATTGAATATATTCAAATAGATATTTGTAGTTGCTAAATTTCTGATACTCACAGAAAAAAGCAGGAATGGGTGAAGACATTTTAAAACAGAACTTAGAATATCATCTAATATTCTTTGATTCTCGTGTTACCAAGATTAATAACAGAAATTCTCCTAAGAAATTCGAGGAAGCAAGTAACGTGAGGTTGATTGGCAGCTAGTCAAGTAAAATTTAAAACCAATAATTTTTGTATAAGGTGATGTGTATATTTGTAGATAATTTCTTTAATAGATTGATTCATTTGTTGATTAATTAATTGATGAACTCACAAAGAAAAAGTGTAATGCAATTACTTATTGTGCTCAAGCTGGAACCAGTTACTGTGAACATCAGTACAGTCAAAAAGATGAATCCATCATTAGAATGCAGAAGACAGTTTGCTGGAAGGACTGTGGAGGATCCTTCTGCTGTAAACCTTGTTAGCTTTGTTGATTCTTAAAGGCCTTCACAATGCTGGGAAGGCCTGGGCCTAAAATAAACTTCAAAGATCATTTTTCGAGACCTTTGTCAGTCTTAACATTCAGAAGTCTTACATAGCAACAGTTGGAAAATGTGTAGTCATAATGAAGTAGAATCACATTATTTAGTGTCTGTTGTTAGAATAAATAAAAAATGCTGAGCTTTATTACATCATTAATAGGAACTAAAAAACTGGCATTGTAAATATTATGATTGAATTCAATCATATATCTAAGCATTGTTTATTTGAGACTCAGTGATTCCCTACCTCTCTGTTGATGAAACTGAATGTAGTGGCAATCTATTTTGAAAGGTAACAATTTTCATATTTTCTTGCTTGAATATTCACAGTGAGGACTAATCTACATTTGAAGTGCTCCGGTACTTCATTTTGCGTTAAATTTTCAGCGACAGAATAAACCAATGTGGATGATTTGTTAGGCATCATGTTTCACCCTGGAATCTTGGTCACAGCACACATTGTGGAGGTCAGATGACAGTTAGGGGGAGTTGGTTGTCCCCTTCAACCTTTTGGGTTCCAGGGATCCAACTCAAGCTGACAAAGCACTCTTACCCTGATGGGCACCTCGCCAGCCCTTTCTTTCTTTTTGTGAAAGGTGCATGTGCCTGGGTGTGCGTTAGTTTGTGTGTATGTGGGTGCTCACACAGGTAAAGTGTTTAGACAGCAGGTAAAGGGCTTAGACTAGGGCCATACACACAGTGCACCTCTTTAACATTAACTATGACCACTATGATTTGCAGGTAAACAGGAAAGAAAAAAGGCACTCTTGCCCCCTCTACCTTAGTATTTCCATTTTCAGTAAAATACTCTTATGCCATTAGATGTAAAGATTCTGCTGCGTGGCCAGTGACCTCAGTACTCTGTGTCAGGCTCGTGTGCTTACTTATTTTTCCTTGTCCTGTGTACCCAGACTGTATTCAGTGGAATTATTTAGGTGTCATTTACAGGGTTCTGGTCAGTTTGTGGAAAGATTATCATACTGATTCACAGGTAGAATCAAGAGGGCTTTTGAATTTTCTAAATGGTGGAAATAATGAAGTCATTTCTAAAATACAGAATTCTACTGTACTTATACCACTAATAATTTCATTATATAAAGTTTAGATAGAAATTTCATAAAATGAATTGTTGACTAATATTCAACGGACTATATTAATTTATGAAGAAAAATTAATCGGTGGCCTTAAAATGTGTGTTTATTCTATCCTATGGATTTAACAAGGAAGAGAAGTAGATGGAAGACAGATATTAGTATTCATAATTATACTATGTTATGAATATTTTTAGTCAGGTTTGGTTTTGTTTCTTAAATTTTATTTAAATAAATGTTTTCTGACATGGATAGCCTCCTTATTTAATCACTTTAAATCGTATATTATTATCTTTACTATCCAGTAAATTAAACCAATAGAGACAGAACTGGGGCTCTTTTAACTGCAGGAATCATGTTGAACCAGTCCAGCCTACTTTCTAACTGCTTGACTGAACACAAGGAGAGAAAGAAGCAGTTGATGTGTCTCTTGCAAAGAGGGAGAGGACAGTTCATGCACAAAGACCTCTTTTCCTAATGGGTGGGATACAAGAGGCACCTGAGAAGAGGAAATGGAGGGGCATGACATCTAGACTGGAAGATAAATGCCCTGGCTTACTCACAGCTAATACACAGAGAATGTGTGATCTACCAGTGGGCCTTTGACAATATTAGCACCATTTCCAAAATAGTTGACTCTGTGTCCCCTTTGACAACACCTTTCTGGGACCTATCTAGGTTATGCCATGACCCAGACTTGGGGCTCACCTACTTGACCTTCTTAGCAACAAGTTGAAGCTCATACACATCAGGACCAGGAGAATCTGAAGCCTGGGGTGAGGAGAGATAATGCGGCAGACTCAGAGTGTGAAGCCATGGGTTTGGCTGTTAGCGCTACTAAAAATCCAATAAGCACATCATTTCTGCTTATATACAAAAAAGCAAGTAGTCCAAACTCTGAACTTTTTGTGTGCCCCATCCTTTTTGGTTGATAACTTAGTAGATACTGTAAGTCTGATGTAAGTCAATTCTAAACAAATACAGCCATCTGCATTTACAAACTCACTAGTGGGATACTTCAGCTAAAGATCAAGTTTTCTAAAATATGGGATCAGTAACTGGATCACTTTGCTAAATGCTGGATGTGAATAATTTACATTGAACCTAACAGAGTTTATGTTGACCCACAGGATCTTGTAATTCTTTTTTGACAGGCTCCTGGGCAGATCGATCACCACTGCATGAAGCTGCAAGTCAAGGTCGACTTCTTGCTCTGAGGACACTATTATCACAAGTAAACTACTACATTATACTTCAAAATAAATAATCTCCCTTCCCATGAGCACAGATCACTGTCAAAGCAAATCCATTTGAAATAAACTTTTTTTTCCTTTTTTTAAAAATTTATTTATTTATTTATTTATAAAAATTTCCACTTTCTCCCCTACTCCCAATCCCCTACCACTCCCCCACTCCCTCTTCTCCTCCCTCTCCAGTCCTAAGAGCAGTCAGGGTTTCCTGCCCTGTGGGAAGTTCAAGGTCCTCCCCCTTCCCTCCAGGTCTAGGAAGGTGAGCACCCAAACAGACTAGGATCCCAAAAAGCCAGTACATGCAGACGAAACAAGACCCAGTGCCATTGTCAATGGCTTCTCAGTCAGCCCCCATGTCAGCCACATTCAGAGAATCCAGTTTGATCACATGCTCGTTCAGTCCCTGTCCAGCTGACCTTGGTGAGCTCTCATTAGATAAGTTCCAATGTATCAGTACTCCTCGCAGTCCTGACATCCTTTTTCATGTTCTCCCTTCTTCTGCTCCTCTTTTGGACCTTGAGGGCTCAGTCCAGTGCTCCAATGTGGGTTTCCGTCTCTATCTCCATCCATCGTCGGATGAGGGTTTCCTCTGCTCCTGCCTTCCTTGCTCACGTTCTCCCTCCATCTGCTTCTCATTTGGACTTAGGGAGTTAAGTCCAGTGTTCCAATATGTGTCTGTCTCTATCCATCCATCGCCAGATGAAGGTTCTATGGTGATATGCAAAATATTCATCAGTATGGTTATGGACCAAGGCCAGTTCAGGCACCCTCTCCTCTGCTGCCCAGGGAACAATCTGGGGACCTCTCCTTGGGCCTGGGAACCCCTCCAGAATCAAGTCTCATGCAAACCCTAAAATGGCTCCCTTAGTTGAGATATATACCTCCCTGCTCCCATAATCATCCTTCCTCCCTCCCCCCATGCCACTCCCCCATGCTATCCCCAATCCTCCCCCTCTCTCTTCTCTCTATCCCTCTCCCCTTAATTCCACCCCTCCATCCCCCATGCACCCAAGTTTGCCTGGCAATCTTGTCTACTTCCAATATCCAGGAGGATAACTATATGATTTTCTTCAGGTTCACCTTCTTATTTAGCTTCTCTAGGATCACGAATTATAGGCTCAAAGACCTTTAATTAAGGCTAGAATCCACTTATGAGTGAGTACATACCATATTCCTCTTTTTGGGTCTGGGTTACCTCACTCAGTAAAGTGTTTTCTATTTCCATCCATTTGCATGCAAAATTCAAGATGTCATTGTTTTTTACCGCTGATTAAAACTCTAATGTGTATATGTTCCACACCTTCTTTAACCATTCTTCTATTGAGGGGCACCTAGGTTGTTTCCAGATTCTGGCTATTACAAATAGTGCAGCAATGAACATAGTTGAACAAATGCTTTTGTAGTATGATAGGGCATCTCTTGGGTATATTCCCAAGAGTGGAATTGCTGGGTCCTGAGGGACGTTGACTCCCAGTTTCCTGAGAAACCGCCACACTGATTTCTACAGTGGCTGCACAAGTTTGAATTCCCACCAGCAATGGATGAGTGTTCCCCTCACTCCACATCCTCTCCAGCAAAAGCTATCATTGGTGTTTTTGAGTTTAGCTATTCTGACAGGTATAAGATGGTATCTCAAAGTTGTTTTGATTTTTATTTCCCTGATCGCTAAGAAGGTTGAGCATGACCTTAAGTGTCTTTTGGCCATTCAAAGTTCATCTGTTGTGAATTCTCTGTTCAGATCAGTACCCCATTTTTTAATTGGGTTAAGTAGAGTTTTAGTGTCTAGTTTCTTGAGTTCTTTGTATATTTTGGAGATCAGACCTTTGTCTGATGAAGCGTTGGTGAAGATCTTCTCCCAGTCTGAAGGTAGCCTTTTTGACTTATTGACAGTGTCCTTTGCTTTACAAAAGCTTCTCAGTTTCAGGAGGTCCCATTTATTCATTGATTCTCTTATTGTCTGTGCTACTGGGGTTCTACTTAGGAAGTGGTCTCCTGTGCCTATGTCTTGTAGACTACTTCCCACTTTCTCTTCTATCAGGTTCAAAGTGGTCAGATTAATGTTGATGTCTTTAATCCATTTGGACTTGAGTTTTGTGCATGGTGAGTGATATGGATCTACTTTCATTCTTCTACAGGTTGACATCCAGTTATGCCAGCACCATTTGTTAAAGATGCTTTCCTCCTTCCATTGTATACCTTTAGCTTCCTTGTCGAAAATCAGGTGTTCATAGGTTTGTGGGTTAATATCCGGGTCTTCTATTCAATTCCATAGATCGACTTCTCTGTTCTTATGCCAATACCAAGCTGTTTTCAATACTGTAGCTCTGTAATAGAGTTTGAAGTCAGGGATGGTAATGCCTCCAGAAGTTCTTTTATTGTATAAGATTGTTTTGGCTATTCTGGGTTTTTTGTTTTGCCATATAAACTTGATTATTGTTCTCTCAAGGTCTGTGAAGAAGTTTGATGGGATTTTGATGGGATTGCATTGAATCTATAGATTGTTTTGGTAAAATTGCCCTTTTTACTATGTTGATCCTCCCAATCCAAGAACAGGGGAAATCTTTCCATTTTCTTGTATCTTCCTCAATTTCTTTCTTCAAAGACTTAAAGTTCTCGTCAAATACGTCTTTCACTTCCTTGGTCAGATTTATCCCAAGATATTTTATGCTATTTGTGGCTATCGTGAAAGGTGAAGTTTCTCTGATTTCCCTCCCTGCTTCTTTATCCTTTGTGTATAGGAAAGCAACTGATTTTTTGGAGTTGATCTTATATCCTGCCACATTATTAAAGGTGTATATCAGCTGTAGGAGTTCCTTGGTAGAGTTCTTTTGGTAGAGTTTATGTACACTATCATATCATCTGCAAATAACGAAAGTTTAACTTCATCCTTTCCAATTCGAATCCCCTTGATCTCCTTATGTTGTCTTATTGCTATTGCTAGAACTTCAAGCACTATATTGAAGAGGTATGGAGAGAGTGTACAGTCTTGTCGTGTTCCTGATTTTAGTGGAATGGCTTTGAGTTTCTCTCCATTCAATTTGATGTTAGCTGTTGGCTTGCTGTAAATAGCTTTTATTATATTTAGGTATGATCCTTGTATCCCATATTGCTCCAACACCTTTATCATAAAGGGGTGTTGAATTGTGTCAAATCCTTATTCAGCATCCAATGAAATGATCATATGGTTTTTTTTTCTTTCAGTTTATTTATATGATGGATTACATTGATAGATTTGCGTATGTTGAACCAGCCCTGCATTTCTGGGATGAAGCCTACTTGATCATAATGGATAATTTTTCTAATGTGCTCTTGGATTTGGTTTGCCAGTATTTTATTGAGAATTTTCACTTCGATTTCATGAGTGAGATTAGCCTGTAATTTTCTTTCTTGGTTGTGTCTTTGTGTGGTTTTGCTATCAGAGTAACTGTAGCTTCATAAAAGGAGTTTGGCAATGATTCTTCTGTTTCTATATTGTGGAATACATTAAGGAGTATAGGTATTACCTCTTCCTGGAAGTTCTGGCAGAATTCTGAATTGAAACCATCTGGTCCTGGGCTTTTTTGGTAGGGAGATTTTTGATAACAGCTTCTAATTCTTCACGACTAACATGTCTATTTAGATTGTTCACCTGTTCTTGGTTCAACTTTGGTATATGGTACTTATCTTTAAAAAAATGTCCATTTCTTTTATATTTTCCAATTTTGTGGCATACAGGCTTTTGTAGTATGATCTAATGATTCTCTGAATTTTCTCTGTGTCTGTAGTTATGTCCCCCTTTTCATTTCTGATCTTATTAATTTGCATATTCTCTCTCTGTCGTTTGATTAGTTTGGATAGGGGTTTGTCGATCTTGTTGATTTTCTCCAAGAACCAGCTTTTTGTTTCATTGATTCTTTGGATTGTTTTCTGTGTTTCTATTTTGTTGATTTCAGCCCTCAGTCTGATTATTTCCAGTCTTCTGCTCCTCCTGGGTGAATTTGCTTCTTTTTTTTTCTAGAGCTTTCAAGTGTGCTGTTAAGTCTCCAATGTGTGCTTTCTCCGTTTTCTTTAATTGGGCACTTAGTGCTATGAACTTTCCTCTTAGCACTGCTTTCATAGTGTCCCATAGGTTTAAGTATGTTGTGTCTTCATTTTTATTAAATTTAAGGAAGACTTTAATTTCTTCCTTTATTTCTTCCTTGACCCTGTGGTGATTTAGTAGTTGACTGTTCAGCTTCCATGAGTTTGTTGGCTTCCTGGGGGTAGCACTGTTGTTGAATTCTAACTTTAATCCATGGTGATCTGACAAGACACAGGTGGTTACTAATATTTTTTTGTATCTGTGGAAGTTTGCTTTGTTACCGAGTATGTGGTCAATTTTCAAGAAGGTTCCATGAACTGCAGAGAAGAAGGTATATTCTTTCCTATTTGGGTGGAATGTTCTATAGATGTCTGTTAAGTCCATTTGATTCAATACCTCTATTAATTCTCTTATTTCTCTGTTAGGTTTCTGTCTGATTGACCTGTCCATTGGTGAGAGAGGTGTGTTGAAGTCTCCTACTATTAGTGTGTGTGGTTTGATGATTGCCTTAAGTTCTAGAAGTGTTTCTTTTACATAAGTGGGTGCCTTTATATTAGGGGCATATATATTCAGGATTGAGACTTCTTCCTGATGAATTGTTCCTGTTATGAGTATGAAATGTCCATCTCCAACTTTTCTGATTGATTTCAGTTTGAAGTCAATTTTGTTAGATATTAGAATGGCCACACCCGCTTGTTACTTAGGACCATTTGCTTGGAAAACCTTTTCCCAACCCTTTACTCTGAGTAGGTGTCTGTCTTTGTGGTTGAGGTGTGTTTCTTGTAAACAGCAGAATGTTGGATCCTGTTTTCGTATCCAATCTCTTAGTCTGTGCCTCTTTATAGGTGAATTGAGTCCATTGATATTAAGTGATAATAATGACCAGTGGTTGTTGTCTCCGGTTATTTTCTCTCTCTTTTGTTTTTTTTTTTTTTGGTGGGGGTAGTAGAGTGTATTTGTTTCCTTTCTTTTAGTTTTGCTTGTGAAGAGTCACTAGATGTCTGAGTTATTGTAGGCAGTATTGGCAATGTTGGATTCCTTGGGTTGTGATTTGCCTTCTAATACTTTCTGCAAGGCTGGATTTTTGGCTACGTATTGTTTAAATTTGTTTTTATCCTGAAATATTTTGTTTTCTCCGTTGATAGTGAATGATAGCTTGGCTGGGTATAGTAGTCTGGGCTTGCATCCATGGTCTCTTAGTTTCTGCAGTACCTCTTTCCAGGACCTTCTGGCTTTCATGGTTTCCATAGAGATGTCTGGTGTAAGTCTGATAGGTTTACGTTTATAAGTTACTTGACCTTTATCCTTTGCAGCTCTTAATATTCTTTCTTTAATCTGAATGTTTTATATTTTAATTATTATATGTCGAGGGGATTTTTTTTTGATCCAGTTTATTCGGTGTTCTGTATACTTCTTGAACCTTCATAGGGATATCGTTCTTTAGGTTGGGGAAGTTTTCTTCTACAATTTTGTTGAATTATTTTCTGGGCCTTTGATCTGCAATTCTTCTCCTTCTTCTATCCCTATTATTCTTAGATTTGGTTTTTTTATTGTGTCCCACATTTCCTGAATGTGTTGTGATGAGAATTTGTTGGATTTGCTGTTTTCTTTGGTCAGAGCGTTTATTTTCTCTATGGTGTCTTCAGAGTCTGAGATTCGTTCTTCTATCTCTTGTATTTTATTGGTTATGCTTGTTTCTGAAATCTGTGTTCGTTTACCTAGATTTTCCATAGCCAGCTGGCACTCGGTTTGAAATAAACTTTCTTAATTGCTACTACTGCTCCTTCTTTATAACTTGTATCAGATAAGACATTAGTTCCTGTTTTACATTTGAAATTCTTTTTTGAGTACTTTGTCATAAAGCTATGTCTTCCTATTTCAAATTTCTCTTGCAGTATAGTTGAATACTAATATGGATTTTAGAAATTAGTTATTGCATTTATGTGTTATTTATTAAGCACTCTAAATATGTGTACTTTTATGTAGTATGTGCAGTTAACTATAGACTTAGTTCAGTCATATGACTCTAAAGAGGTAGCCAGTCCAGATGTTTAAACAGCATATTTTACATTATGGTAATTTATGGTGAACTGCCTGTGAAGTCAGTAGAATGCTCATTTCTATACCTGCTTACTTCATCAGAGGGAGCAGAGGGAGAAAGAAAAGCATAGATTCCTCTTGCAAACAGAAAGTGAACTAAGCTTGAATCAGTGCATTACATATTATCAGCTTCTAGTCTGACTGTAATGTATACTCAGGGCGTTAGTGATTCCCGGTGTCACAAAGAAAGGAATTTCTCAGATGGTTATGAGAAAGAACGGTTTCTAACAACATAGTTGGAACAACACCTGACACTTGATGCAGCCACAGCCTCCCCAAGTTTCAGTTTCTCACCTGTAACATGAAGATGTGTCCAAGGTGTTCCCTTGGAGTGTCTGGTCCTGTGACAGCCATGTGACTGTTTTACTCATCACTTCATGGTGGAGGAAGGACCTGTGTAAAAAGGTCAGTGGTTTCAAAGGCTAATCCCCTGGAGAGGGTCACATAATGCTTTCAGAGGACGGCAGTCCCAGTGTTTCTCAATGTGCCTCCTCCCCACAGATGATGCCAACCCTGAGGAGGGAGAGGCTGCCGCAGCACCCTCTCACATGCTTCCATCATCAGGTCACACTAGGATGTGGCCACATCTCCTCAAACCAGACTGGTTACTAGGAACTTGAAATCTTGAAAATGATAAGGATAGGACTGATAGAAATTCGACTTTCTAGCAACAAAAATACACTGTGATTGTCTGTCTGTGCCTCCATGTGTTCCCCTGAGACGGTGTATGACACTCTATGCTAAGATCTTGCCTTGAAACTTCATATAAAGTTCTTAGTAAAATTATCAATAGTAAACCATGAATTATTAATGATCTCCAGGAGGCAAAGAATCTTACATCCTAATAATTTTATATGATTTAGTCTGATATTATAAGCTTAATTAGAGCATGATGCTTATTAAGCTAGAGAATTAAATGAAATCTCTTATTTCCCACTCAGTGGGAACAGTAATAATTGTCATAAAAGTATTATCCCATTTAAATCTCATGACCACCCTAAATTTAGAATGCAAAATATTTGTTCCAATTATCATGATTATTGTGAGTCATGCTTTAAACACAAATCTAATTTTTAGCTCAGAGTTCTCAACCTTACTGTATAACTCAATCATATCTATTAAATGAATAGCTATTTTCATGACACATTCATAAATCAATTTACAAGCATTTATTTGTCCAGTCTGGATTGACCATTGAGTTTATGATTTTTTAAAAAAGTCTTTGATTCTATAAAATAAAGAATAGAGAACCAATATCCCTCCAAAGGTCTTAAGAAAATGAACTTTAAAGAAAATGTGCCAGAATCTATTAGCAAAGTACTTAGCAATATTAGGTGATACTGCTATAGTAATGGCAGTGTTCTTAACCCTCAAATGTGTCATAAATGGGACACATTACAATGATTACATATTTACAGGCACAGTGTAGTAAAATGTGTATAAAATGTGTAATGACCAAACCAACGTAGCTAATTTTTTCCATCTCATAATTTTACTAACACTTAATAATTGTGCATATTTATTGAGTATAGTATGACATTCCAACACATGTATTCACTGTTGCTGGGCAAAATAGAATAATTCATTTATAGTAGTTACTCTTCTCATTACTGAGACTAATTATCCTACAAGAAGGCACTGTGGGGACAGGTTTGTTCAGATTCACGCTGTCACGTAGGGGAGGCTGGTTGTCTGGGGCTCCAGCAGGAGCGAGGCGACAGCTGACCACATAGTTTGTTATATTTCCACAAGAAAGAAACAGAGCAGACTGATCAGAAGCAGCAGGAATATAACCATAAACTCATCCTGCACCAAAGTGGTCTACTTCAGTCAGTTCGGCTTGTCCTCACACAAGTTCTAGGACAGAACCATAAGTAAGAATTTGATACGGAGTATTAAGTAGGCAGTTGGCACAGAAAGACAAACACCACATATAGATAAGGATTAAAATGTTGACTTGAAGACAGAATAATGACGAACTGAAATTAAAGAGCTCCGAACATGGTCAGATGAGGTTATAGTGACTTAACATGCATACTGTGTATAACAGGAAGAGGACTAAAGAGTCTCAACAGCTGACTCAGCTGCTACACTGGTCAGATCCTTTCCTCTTTAAACAATCTCCGTGACATTGACAAGGATGGCGGGATGACATTGTATACCTTCTTGTCTCACTGTAGGGTTATAATGTAAATGCAGTAACCATAGACAACATCACCCCCCTCCACGAGGCCTGCCTGGGAGATCATGCGGCATGTGCAAGGACTCTTCTGGAAGCTGGAGCTAATGTAAGTAGTAACAGGAAGTCAAGAACGTAACATCTACTGACCCAGAGCACAAAACTTCTCATTTTATTTTCCTTTCCTTCTGTCTTAGCAGTAAGTATTGAAGACACAACAATACAAACAATGCCCTAGGACTCCCTCAGCCTACTCAAGAAACCTGCAGAGGAATCCCAGTCATTGTGTAGAGTGGTGTTTTGATGATCTTTAGACTTTCTGTTTTCGGGAATCAAAATAACAACAGATGACCATCTGTATCTTGTATCCTTGCTTGTTTTCTTAACAAGTTTCCAGAAAAATTCTCAGGAATAATAGCTATGGTACATACTTGTATTCCTGGATCTTTGGAAGCAGGGTAATGAGCAGTTATATAGTAAGTTGGAGGAAACCAGAGATCCTCTCAAAATACATACATACATACATTTATACATACAAATTTCAGAATAAAATCAATACCACATTGAAATATCCACTAGTAAAGTGACCTTGTCATTTCCTTCACTGTTACTACTTGCTGCTTCCTTTTTTGAGTTGTTGATTTTGTGTGAGTTCTATATCTGAATATTGACTTTTCAATGAACAATATCAGGGTGCCCATTCCTGTGACTGTTCTCCCACCTCATGTTTCTGCTTATTTCCTGAAGGTGTGAAGCTTGTCTCATTGATGAGTATGAAGTAAATACACACTGTCATATTTACAGTGCACACTTCCCAATTAGCGAGTCACGTAGCTTTGACCAATGCATCAACAAGTTCCTTAGTCCTGCATGATTTATGAATCATCTCATTCTCCGATTTCGGGTTCTGTTTAGGCAAATGCAATCACGGTAGACGGCGTGACTCCCTTGTTCAATGCATGCTCACAAGGCAGTGCAAGCTGTGTAGAACTTCTTTTGGAATATGGTGCCAAAGCCCAACCGGAGTCCTGTTTACCATCCCCAACACATGAGGCTGCGAGTAAAGGTTAGTTACGTGGTTAAGTTAAAAAGGGAAACTATCCCCAGATGTGCATACTCCTATGTGTCTCTCAATGACTTATACTTCTGTAGAAAACACGAGTCGAGGTACAAGTTCAAGAGAGAACATTAACAAAAAGTGAAACTGTCTTTTCTTGTGTTGGCAGGGCACCATGAATGTCTCGACGTTCTGATAGCCTGGGGCATCGATGTTGACCAACACATTCATCACCTGGGAACTCCTCTTTATGTAGCGTGTATGTCACAGCAGTACCACTGCGTCTGGAAGCTTCTTTATGCTGGTACTTTTTCATTCTCTCCATGTTTGTAGATAATTAATTGTTCATCTAGCTAAGCTTCTTTCTAAGATTCTCCAGACTGAATATGATGTTGCTAAGTATGTAAAGAAACCCCACAAAAACTTAGGGGCTCTGAGTACTTGGATAACCCTATTGCCTACCATAGAAAAACCCATAGACTGTCCCAGACTTTGGACTTTCTGTCCTGTTGCTTGAAAAAGCTTACTGCCTTTCCATCTAAGTTCCTCAAAGCTCAGTGTTTGCTCCGTGAGAAACAACCCTAATCCATTCAGAATTTGGTGGTCACTCTCACATTAGAGCTGGAAACTCCTTGGAGATGGTTTGTGCCCTGCCCCCCACTGCCATTATCTATTTTCTCTATCAGGGTGCCACTTTGTTGTGTGGTAGCTACTTAGGATATACATGAATGAGACACTAGAGTTTTGTGTTGTTTGTTTTGTTTGTGACTAAAATACACTATTTACTTCTGGCATATTCAGACATATAATTTTATCAACCCCTTAATATATTACTCACAGTGTCTTACCTGACCTATACATGTCTTATGAGCAGGACGTCACACCCCCTATTTTATTTCACATTGCACATAGAACTGCGAAAATGAATTCTGTTAATATTGATAAATTATTTCCTAGATAAATTGATCATACATTTGGTATAACCAATACAATATATGCTTTATCACCCATTTTTCCCACCAAACACTTTAGTATATGTTAAAGAACATTAGAAATTATTGTTAGCAATCGTTGATAGGTTGCTATTTTCAGGCTCCTTTCCTCTCTTAAAGTTGATAATCCCAATGAAGTTTGTGATTTCTTTATGGAAATTTGGCCAAGAGACATTTCTCGACTACGTATTTCATATTTATTTAAAAATAGTGAAAGCAATTATTTCTACTGAAAGCTAAAAGCATAAGGGAGCTATGAAGAAACTTAATACGAACTGATTCTTGTGGGTGTGGGTAATTTTACAAACTATCAAAAGGCTGACTCAGAAAGCACGTATGACTTTTGACAGTTATTTCTTGGTTTCTAACCATTTGTATACTAGCCAATAGTATTACTAAACTTTTATAGTGTTAAATACTAGAGTCATTGAATGACCCTTGTGAGCCAGACTTGGGCTAAGATGAATAACCAAGCAGTAGAAAATTTTGTATATAGGCTTATGTTTTTCAATGCGAACATGTTCAAGTTTGAGGTTTTATGCAGATATCATTGAAGTGTTTTTCCACTACAGAGGCTTTTAGTCTTTGTGTGTTTACTGACTGAAATTACGCAAGTGAAAATCGGCAGGCTAATTTATATACATTTTACCTAAATGATTCACATATTGATATTCATGAATTTTCAAAGAAACCAATAAGTTTTCTTGCCTTAAATGAAAATAACGAAAACAATATTATTCCAAATAACTTTAAGAGCTATTATCTATGATAAAAGTATGTATGTGCAAACTTAACAATGCTTTTAGGCTGGTGAGATGGCTCAGTGTGCAAGGACACTTGCCTTGCAAGTCTGATGATCTGAATTCAATCCCTGGAGACCATGTGAAGATGGAAGAAGAGAACTGAATCCTTGAAGCTGCCCTGCGATCAAAACATGCACACTAAGGCATACAGACCTACACACACATCTCAAGTGTGCATGTGTGTGTGCATGTGCACGTGCAAGTGTGCGCGCACATGCACACACAAACACACACACACACACACAGGAATAATAATTAAGAACCTTTTCAAAATTAAAAGGCTCTTTCTCCTGACATCGTTTCAGATGTCAATAAAAAATACCCAGAAAAGTATTTGAAAATAATATGACTAATGTGTATACCTCCATATCCAGAGGTAGCAAATTTAAGATTTTCTGTAACAGCTCATCACCAATAAATATCCTTTATGTAAATATCCTTTATGTACCCTTCCCCGAGTTGTCTTCCTCCCTTTTACCTGCAAAGGTAACTACTCATGTAATAATTGCTTTTTAAAAATCATTCCTGTCTCCTTCCGTACAGGTGCTGATGTCCACAGAGGCAGGTATTGGGACACGCCACTCCATGCTGCTGCTCAGAAGCCCAGTACTGAAATTGTGAACTTGCTGCTAGAATTCGGAGCAGACATCAATGCCAAGAACACAGACCTTCTGCGGCCAGTTGATATGGCTACATCTAACAGTGCTGTAGAGAGACTACTTCTTCAACATGAAGGTAGGGAGAATGTATGGGGGTGTTTATAAATGCAAACATATGAAACAGATGAAAACAGATGAAACAAAAGGATGAAAGTGAAAGTGCTTTATTACTCTATGAAGTAGCAATGACATAAAGTTTCAAGTGTTTGTTGTGAGAACCAAAAAATTCAACGTGGGCTCTATGGAAGGAAAATATAATGATTTTAAGATTTTTATTGAATCTAAACTTTTATTTTCCTTTAGTAAAATATGTTGAACTTGTTTCAACAATAAATCATATGCCATTTTCTGATGCAATATCTATTTAGATGCACTATTTTTAAAAATATTTGAGCACATGGCATGGTGGCATAGGCCTTTACTCCCAGCACTCGGGAGGCAGAGACAGGCAGATCTCTGTTCATGTTCAAAAAATAACAACGATCCTGAGAACTGGGTATTTGAGCCTTAGATCTAGCAAAAAAGCGCAGCAGCAAATACTAGGCTAGTTCTCTACCAATGAGTCACATTTCCAAGCACCCAAATCCCCCAGATCCCTTCTGGCTCCCCTGTAACTTTGGGGGGTTTTGTTGTTGTTTTGGGCACGGTTTTCTGTATCTTGTGCTGGCCTTGAACTCATAGATAGCTAAGGATGACCTTAAAAATTAATTCTCTGACTGTGCCTCTCAAGTGCTAGGATTATAGACATGTCCCACTAAGCCTAGTTCATGTATTGCTGTGGAGCAAACTGAAACTCCATGTGTTCTAGGCAAGCAGTCTGCAACTGAGCTCTATCCCCAACCCATTCAAGCCCCATTTTATAAGGTGTGGTTCATGTTCTCTAGTGTGTTGTAGATACATACTAAGAAAAGAGGTTTTTTTTTAACCTTTAAGTCTTTTTTCAAGCAACTTTTATAAAGGTTAGTTCAGAATATAATTTTAATTTTAAAGTTTGCCTTTATGATCTATATCTTGGTTCTTGAGTTAAATCTCCTTTAAAGATAAGAATTTGTTCTGAAAATTCTATGAAGCAAGAATTTTAATAATCTACAAGATAATTATGTATGTTATTATGTATTTGTATTTTGTATGTGTGAGTGTTTTGCCAGCTTGCATGTTAGTGCACTGCATTCCTGGTGTCTCCAAGAGCCAGAGAGTGTACCAGATGGCCTGGAATGGGAGTTAAGGATCTTTTGTCAGCCATTGCATGCTGTGGGTGCTGGGAAGTGAACTCAAGTCCTCTGTAGGAGGAGCAAGTGCTCTTAGCTGCTGAGCCACCTCTCCAGCAATTTGAAGACTGTAATGATTTAAAGAACATGTATGGTACATTCAATCATGAGACATATCTCAAGATCTCTAAAGTAAAGGCAATATAAATAATGAAAAACGTTTGTCATTAGCCAAATAAATTTACTGATTTATGCTTTTATTTAATATAGCTTTTCACATATAAAAATTCATTTTTTAATAAATATGTCGATGTCTTCTTGTAGCTACCCCAAGTTCTCTTTGCCAACTCTGTCGACTCTGTATCCGCAACTACATAGGAAGACAAAGGTTGCACCTTATCTCCCAGCTCCAGCTACCAACGTTGCTGCAGAATTTCATACAGTATCGATAACACAGTAAATAGTTTTACATTCTTTGAAAATCAAAACTTTATATTTCGTTTTCATTTTAAAATATAGATTGATATGGGTGAGGGCAAGTATAGTTCACCTAGGGAAGCTTTGAAATCTCAACAGAGTTTCATTGAAGAATACTCACTAGTACTGTTTATGAATTTTTATGGTCTTTTGAACTGTAATACGTTTAAAATATCTATACTATCTTAGCAATCTCAGTATACCTTCTTGACTTAGGGGAATATGAGAATTTACTCATTTTATGTTTTTTATTATAGAGCAGAAAGTTGCATACTTTTACTAAATTTTTAATTCAATTATAAATTTCATACTGTGTTACATTTTGAAGAATCTGTATTCTTCAAATAATGGGCTAACTGTAATTTCAGCTACTACCATTGGCTATCTCTGTATTTTTAATATTGACAAAAATTTTAGAGCAACTAATATGCTTTTTGAAATAAAGATGAATTATACACTTGGCTGTTGTAATGTCTTTCCTCCTCTGTACAGAGCTCAAATTTGCTTTCACATAGATAGTCTTGTGGTAGACTAAATTACCGAAGGACTGACAGTCCTGCCTAGGCAACAGATGTGGGAGGTTCAGCACCTGTGAGGGCTATTTATAGACCTTCTCAAGAGATGTTTCACAAGGTCTGACGTCAATGCTTCCAGATGTTACCGTACTCTGAAAATAATGGACCTTATGCCTCCGTGACGAAGTCATGAGTTACATTCACACAGTGAATGAGTTCTGCGATAACTGTCCCAGAAGAGTAGGTACCAGGGCTCCCTAACTCCTTAGGGTCTACACTTTAAGTGACTGGGTCACTCTATTGATACGTGAATCCCTTGGTTTCGGTCTTTGAAATAGGGTCAATGATCAAGGAAGCAGATGAATTCATTCTATATATATCCTGTTTCTTTTGTTTGACATTAAGATGAAGGGGACTGTCTTACTATAAAGAATTACACATAACCCTACAGCAGGGATTCTCAACTTGTGGATAATGACCCCTTACGGGGGTCAAATTGACCCTTTCATGCGGGTCCCAAAGCAGATATCCTGACTATCAGATATCTATATTAAAATTCATAATAAGAACAAAATTACAGTTATGAAGTAGCAATGAAAATAATTTTATGGTTTGAGGTCACCACAACATGAGGAACTGTGCTAAAGGGTCGCAGATTTAGGAAGGCAGAAAGCTGCTGCTCTAGCAGGAGGTTAGAAGACGCATGTTAATATTCCTTAAGAGGAAGATGATACACATGTGTCTTTGGTAAGGGGAGACATGTGACTTTGATACAATACAACCTACAGAAAACTCACATCAGAAAAGACAATCAACAAAGGATTGTCCCTTAGTGTGAACACAGGTGGGCACAGGGCTCTAAAGATAATCACACCCACAATCCTACTGAAAGCTTTAATTATTCTTGAAAGAGTAATGTTTTTAGTTAGTTGTCATGGAAATGTAGTTTTAAGATAAGATGCTTTAGATGTGTTCTCAGCAGAGGGCAGAACAGCAACGTGATGACTTGACGTCTATTTTCTGTCTCTTGTATGGTGAACCTTCTTTGATGTAAAGATCTTTCTGACAAGAACACATCCCAGCCCCCATAACATTTTTATAACATCTGCTTTCTTGACACATTCAAGACTTGCAGAGGTAAACACAAATACTGAGAACGAATTTCACAGACATCTTCTCAAAGTTAGATGTCCTCCCTGGAAAAAGTGGAGTGAGAGAGGAGTTTACCAAGGAAAGTTAGAGATTACTGAATTGGCTGAGTTTGGTCAAATTTCACTTGGGAAAGGGAAGCTTGAGGTAACAAAAGTAAATAAGTTCTATTCTGAGTAGACTTTTTGCAAACAGCATGTAGTTTTTCCAGTTTTCACTCCCAATATGTGGTTTTCATAGGCTAAAATTACTTTGACCCCAATATTACTTGTAAAAATATTTAGTAAGGGCCTAGATGATAAAATCTCTTGCCATACAGAGGATTTGGTTCAACCCCCCCAGAACCCATGTAAATGTTGAGAACTATTTGATTTGAAATACTTTGATTCTACACACACACACACACACACACACACATACACACACACACACACACACAAAGATACTGAGCTAGATTCTCTTGCAAACTGAATAGTCAGAGGGGGTCCCATGCTGACTTATCAATCAGATAATAACATTGTAACAATCTTCAAGTTTTTGAATGATACCAAGAATTTTTTTGTTTCTACTGTCCAGAAACTACATAGACAACTTTGTTCTTCTCTGCAGATATTCACACACCAATGACTAACAGCCAGCTGGTAGAAGTCTTCCTTTCTTAGCCAGGGGGGAATTTCTCAGATAATTCCCTGAATTTAAGAGTACAAGGGGAAATAGCCCTAGACTGATTAATTTTTGTCAAAATGATACAAACTAGAGTCACCTTGTAACAACAGCCCGAAAGTCCAGCTCTTCAAGGCCACCTACAGAGTTCAAGGAAGAAGTCCCCAGTGGAGCAAAACCGAGCTTGGAAGTTTTCTGTCTGAGGGATTATGGAATAAATTCACCCACATGCTGTTTGAGTCATGTTCTTTATCCTTCTGTATATTTTTCTGTTCTCTAATTTTCTTCTAAGTACTAATTTTTTCTGGTTCTTTGTTTCAATGCCCCGTTTCAACTCTCCCTTGTTTCTGAGTTTATCTACCTTAAACACATTTTTTTCTGGAGACTTGAGACAATAAGAAAAAGAGTTATAAGACTAGCATCTCATTGGTCATAGCACATCCCTTGAGTAAATGGTAAGGAGCTGGGCCATTTACCATGGCAACGCAAGGTTTCAAGGTTCCAGGTGTGAGACTGTGACCAGAGGCTGGGGCACAGTGCCCAGCTGAGACAAGCTGCAGAGAGATCTTCACAGAGTCAGGTCTTTTCAATCACACTTGGCAAGCGAAGAATTGGCCTGGTGTTTTAGGTTGCTTTGTATTAATAACCTTGGTTAGACATCTACAACTATGGCCTTATGCATAACTGTAAAATACTTTATAATTTGTTTACATCAACATTCAGTCTAGTTAGAACTGCTCTGACATGAAAATGAACTGTGTGTAGTTTGAGTAAAAAGGACAATGTCTTACAGCCCTCATGGGACAATAGATCTAGTTATAAAGCATATCCTAATATATTTTCTGTATATCAAAATTATATAGATCAATGAGGAGTCATCTTTCTGACAACCCATGGATATATGTGCCCAGAAGATTGAGATGCAACATGAGATTACATATGCACTTCATAAGAAATTACATATTACAGTGCAGGTAATGGGAAGACAACATAGCTGCTTTTGCACATGTGAAATTACAGACAGAAGCAACACTTGCCTGTCAGTGGTCCTACAGGTACTGTCTGGATGGAATTCTTCTCCTTCAGAGAAACATTCCTCTTATAGGTTGACATCTGAACACTAGTTATCACCTGCTGCATACTTTCTACGGCCCTGGACAACCTGGCAAGAGGGAATGTCAATTTGGAAATTTTCTCCATTAGGGTGACATGTGGAACATTTCCCTTTTTGTTTGTTTATTTTTAATATTGCCTCTCATTTAATTTCAACATTTCTCCATTCTGTTTTCTTTCTCCAAACCTTTCTTTATATCCCTCCTTGCTCTCCTTCAAATTCAGGCCTCTTTTTTCATCCATTGGTATTGTACGGATATCATTTTCTTAACTGTTAATTGATATAGGAAGGCCCAGTTCACTGTGGGCAGTACTATGCCTAGGAAACTGAGTCTATGCTGTATAAGAAATGCAGACCACAAAACCAGAAGGGAAAAGCCAGTAAGCACTATTCTTCTGTGGTTGCTGCTTCAGTTCCTGCTTTGGGGTTCCTGTTTGATCCTCCTGTTCTGGTTCCTCTCATGATGAACTCTAATCTGCAAGATATAATGAACCTTGTTCTGCCCAAGTGGTTTTTGGTTAGCATTTTTATCAATACCCAAGACAAAAAACAGATAAACTTTTTACCTTGGGAAATGTCAACTGCCCTCTATGCTCTTAAATCAGTGATTCTCAACCTGTGGGTCACAATCACTGTGGATTGTTGAATGACCCTTTCACAGAGTCACCTAGGACCAATAGAAAGCACAGATATTTACATTACAATTGATAATAGTAGCAAAATTACAGTTATAAAGTAGAAACGAAAATAATTTTACAGTTGGCAGTCACCATCCTATGTGAAACTGTATTAAAGCGTCATAACATTAGGAAGGTTTAGAACCACTGTCTCAAATCATTACTGGGAAAATTACCTAGGGAAAATAAAATTATACTGAATTTAGTAAGCAAAGGGGAACTGGACACATCTTTGCCTTGTGACTCTTTCTTTCTGCGCTCAAGAAGTAGACTCTGCTCCTGTGACTCAGGTTTGGATGGGTCCTATTTCTTGCCATGCTTAAGAAATGGAATAAATGCATTAAGAGACTATGTTTGACTTGGGCCTCTGAAAAGTTCTGTTTTCATGTGAAAGACTGTAGTCACCAGGGAAAGAAGTCTAGGTTGGCCTACTAGACGGTGAGAAAATGTGGAAAGAGGACTTTGTAACCCAGTACTAAGAACCAACCCCATGAGTGCAATCTATTAGTTACTTTTCAGTCTTTGATCAAACTCGATGACCTATTCAGCTAACAGAAGAAAGGCTTTGCTTGGGCTTAGATCTAGGACACTGGTTCTCAACCTTCCTAATAATGAGACCCTTTCATACAGTTCTTCATTTGTGGTGAAGGCCCCCAACCATAAAAATTATTTTTGTTGCTATTTCATAACTGTCATTTTCATCTATTATAGATGGTAATGGAAATGTTTTTTGGAGATGGAGGATTGCCAAAGGGGTTGTGAAACATAGGTTGCAGCACTTACATATTAATAGCCAATACATACCTTCAATATTTTTATATTATTTTTACCATGACCACATGACCCAGAGGCTCCTTCTGCACCTTCCTGAATCCCTGTACTTAGCTACATGTACATCAACTTAATACATGCTAAAGTCATTCGGGAAGAGGAAACTCCAATTGAGAAAATGGCTCCCCAAATTGGTCTGTGAGCAAAGTTGTGCGTATGTTCTTGATTGATGCTTGATGTGAGAGGGCCAAGCTCATTGCTGACTATGTCACTCTCAGGGATGGTAGTCCTGGTTCTATAACAAAACAGGATGAGCAAGCCATGAAGAGCAAGCCAGTAAGCTGCACTCCTCCATGACCTCTGTATGGGCTCCTGCCTCCTTGATCCTGTCCTGTTGAGTTCTGCTCTGACTTCAGTTAGTAATGGACTGTGGTGTTGAACTGTAAATTGTTGTAAAAGAAGTGGCAGGCTCCTTCCTGCCGCCCGAGAGAAGCACAAGCCCTTTGTTCCGTCCCACCCGGCTAGCTTACCTGAAATAATTACACAGAAACTGTATTCATTTAAACACTGC